TCGTCTCTTGTTCTTTTAGTTATTTTGATATCTGCTATTTCTTTTGAGTCTATTGGGTTCACTAGAAGTGCACCACACACTTCCTGTTGTTGTTTTGTATAGTTAGTTAGTTATAATCTATAGTTTTCGATTTTTTTTATTTTTTGTTTACTTAATTTTAGTGATGTATGGAAAAGAGTTTATTATAATATTATATAATTAAAATTTTTACTTTGTATTTGCAATACAAAAAATACTCTTCTCATATAAATTCAGGTTATGTTTATATACTCTTGACATACTTTTGATGCAAAAGTAGCTGTAGAGTTCTTAGCCGGATCAGAAAATACTGAGCCAGATGGACTTGAGTTGTAATCCGGACTAATGGATCAAACCGAAATTCATAAAGTTTTTGAAGTTAATCCTTAGAAGTTAATGTAACGACTCCTAATTGAATCTGTACTCCAAATATTTAAACTGTAATTTTTCAGATTTTGTATTGAAAATTTTTCAACCTTGCTTGTGATTTGAGTTCATTCATTTTCTACTTCAGAAGTATGTGCCTGTCAAGAAGCTGACCCATACAAATCAGATAACTCAAGTAAGAGCTTTACTAGCTGCTTGTTTTGAATTCTAACTTATTTGACTCAGGTTAGAGTAATTTTTGACCCGTAATCCAGGTAATAACTCTAGGCAGCTGGTAAATCTATGAAAAAAAACTTGTACTTTATTAAATAAATATGATTTTTAATTATACTAACTTCATCTTCATCGTTTAGTTCATATTCTTCATGGGATCTTTTTTGAACTTTCTTACAGACTTGGGCTTGTACTTTGTGGGTTTATACTTCATGGGTTTGTATTTCATAGGTGTGTACTTCATAGGTATATACTTCATGGGCTTGGGCTTGAGCTTGCATTTCATGAGCTTGAGTTTGCACTTGCATTTCATGAACTTGAAGTGGCTCATGGGCTTGAACTATCTCACAGGCCTGGGTTTGCACTTCATAAGTTTGTACTTCGTGGGTTTGTATTTCATAGGTTTGCACTTCATAGGTTTGTATGTCATGGGTATGCACTTGGGCTTGGGCTTGTATTTCATAGGTTTTTTCATATTGGTTATGCGAAGAATATTTATTTAGAATTTTGTTGAGAGAAGAGGAGTGCGATAATTAAACATCTCTATTTTTTGGTATTTCATTGTGATTGCATAGACAATGATTATAAATGATGATACAAGGATAATGAAATAAATGTCAGCATGAAAGTAAGATTACTGGTACAGAGAGGTTAGGCATGATTTCACTTTCACACAAAGCACAAATATCTGAACATTGATATTCAGAAGGAATTAAGTTTGGATTATTGTCATAATACACTTTACAAATGAATTTTTTTATATTATCCATTGCAGAAATATGACAATTTCTTATCAAAAAAAAACCTTTTATACAAATATATTATAACTGAGTAAAAATTAGACTATACTAACATATATAATCAAATAATATAAACCCTAATTTTTACTATGAAGTTAAAGCTAAAAAAAAATAATATAACTGATATCATTTCTCTAACTTTAAAAAAAAGTATAATTAATAGTGATTTAAGTTGAACTCACATTTGATCACTATTAAGTAAAAATTATATACATAGTCAGATTAATCTGCAGCAAATATAAAATCTGATATGGCTTTTTAAAAAATAAAATAATTATTATATATGAATATTTGCAGCTTTTGTCTTAGATCATTAACTATTGTGATAGGCCTGGTAACAATTATATGTTCGATCAATTGATCCAATATAAATATGAGATAATTATATGATTAATAATATTAGTGACATAAATATAATCTTTGTTAATAAGTATTATTATTATGAGTAATTAATTAAATATATGATTATTAAGTAAATATAAGATAATTATATTATTAAGTGGATAATTATCGATCAAAATTGCTTTTGTCTTTTTTGTGAACCCTACTTTTATTCTGGTTATATACCTTATTTCTGGTCATAGCAATTTTGTAACTTGTTGAAACATTAGTTGCATATTTAGTTTAACCTATTAGGATAATAGCCAATATATTACGAATCTATGATCAAATAAGAAATGTAAATTGTAATCTGTTGAGATAATAGTCACACAGTTAAGCAATGTTGTATATTTTATTGTCTCAAGCTTTTTTGCTATTTTCCAATATCCCAATGAAAATGTCCTAAAATATCCTAACTTATGCCCAAACTGTTTTATATACAACACTGCAGTTAAATATAGCCTATCAGAATAACAGGCAATGTGATACTAATTCATATTTAAATAAAAAATATAAAATTGTGTTGAAGTCAAGTATAGCTTGTTAGGATAACAGCCAACATTTTATATATTTGTAAAATGTAAAAAAAAGAGGAAAGAGAGAATAAAGCAAGGAAGAAACCAATCGATACTCAGCAAAGTTTGTGTAATGCTTGATAGCAAAAGAGAATACCTGTTTATGTTTTTCATAGTAATATCCTAAAAATGAAAGACAAAACAAAAAAAACCATTATTTATTATGCCGAAAAAATAAGTTATAATTATTGTATGGGTTGTAGAAAATAACTAAATTTGCACAAGTTAACCAGTTCCACATGGCCAAAGGCTATGTGAAATAAGTTGACCCTTGCAAATTTAGTTTTTTATACAATCCTATATAATAACTATATTATTGCATGGGTCTAACGTAACAACCTGTGCGACACCTTTCACATTAATAAAAGAACAATTTTAATGTTGATGTTATGAAGGCTCTGTCTAATAAGAATTTTTTTAAAAAGTGAAAAACTAAAACTAATCAAGCGAAATTCCAATTATATATAACCTTATCCAAAAATTTTTTTAAAAAAATGAAACTTTAATTATGTAAAGAATCCTGTTCAATGAAAATGAAAATAAAATAATATAATTCCATTTAATGTAATATAGTAAGTGAAGACTTAATAATAAATCTGGCGGCTTATGCTGAGATTAGTTTATACTGAGATTTGGAATTCTTATTTAAATCTCTAATAGCTACTAAAATTCACATATACTTTTTTATTATAAATACTAACTCTAATTTCTAACCTAACTATAAAAAAAAAGATCTACAAAAAAGGCACAAAAATTTTGTAATTTCAATAATAAAATAAGTCAAATTTCTAGCTTAAGCCAATCTCAGTATAAGCTGCTACAATAAATAACCTGCTTAATGATAGTTTTAAAAACAGAGGTTTAATAATGAGTAATTCAGTATACTAAGCATTATAAAAGAAAAAGATTTAATAATATATGACTAATTTAACAAGAATTTAAAGAAAGTAAAAATTAATAATATATAACTTTGTCTAACAAAAATTTAAAATAAACACTAAAAACGAGATTCTGTCTAGTAAGAATTAAGAATTTTTAAAAAAATGCAAAATTTAAAAATATGCAATCCTATTTAATATGAATTTAAAGAGCTGACTATTTATATAATGATCATTTCAAACAAAAAAAAAATATAAAAACAAATTAATGCTAACACTATCCAATGACAATTTAAAAAAGTAAAGATCTAATAATGCTCTATCTTCAATTTTAAAAATATGATGACCAACCAATTTAATGTTAATAAAAATAAAATAACTAAATTGGAACACTTTCATATTTGATAAAATATTAAAGTGTTTTGATTTAGTTATTTTTTTAAACACGTGCTGTAAATGAATGAAAAAAGCACAGGTTATTATATAAGACCCCATGCAATAATAATTTAATTATTATACATTAAACAGTTACAAAAATAATAATAAATTAATTATTATCTATTAAATAGTTATGAAAATAAAAATTTTTATTATATATTAACAATTACTATTATTATAATCATATTAAATATTAAATATACAGCACATAAATATTTTTCTTTGCAATATATATTAATTGATCAAAAAAAAATTCGCCCTTATTTAAATATCTAGTTAAAAAGTTTTATGCTATAAGAAGACTTTTATTTGATTAGCTATTTAAATCAATTTTAATTTTATATTATTTATACAGTTTAAAGTACTTTTAAAACTACAAAAATAAACAAAAAAAGAAGTATATAAAAAGTTTTTTTACGGTTGTAGGACTCTAGTATTAAATTATTTCTAGTTTTAGAGAAGTTAGCATAATAGTGACATCTTAAAGATAGATAGAATTAGGTTATTACCATACTAACTTCTCTAAAACCAGAAATGATTTTGATTATTTTTAATACTAGAATCCTAAGTTGAGTAATGGGTTGTCAAATAAATGGTTGTTGGGGAAATCTATTAAATCTGTCAAGATTATATGAAATGCAGATCATTTCTAAAATCCTCCTAGCCAATCAAAAAATTAATATTATATAGGGGCTCTATAGCAAAAGTGTTGATGGGACAAAAAAAAATTTTTTTGTAAAAACTTTATTTTTGCAAAAATTAGATCATTTAGAACACAACATCAAAAAACTACAAAAAAAAATTTTTTAGCCTATCATCATCTTTTGCTATAGAGCCTCTCATATATTGATCTAATCAAGATTGCAAATTTTAAGAATAATATTAATATGAAATCAAACAAGATTTTAATTAAAATTATTAAAAATTATATTTTACTTCAAAAAAAGATACTTCAAACATTATAATAGGATAGACACATTTGTTTCAGTGACTTAATAATTAACACATGAAGTATTTTATAAATAGACTATTAAATGACTTAACGATTGATATATGAAATTGTTTTTGTAAATAGACCGTTACAGTAAGTAACTTAACGATTGATACATGAAGCATTTTTATAAGTAAACTATTAAATAACTTAATAATTGATATATGAAATTAGTGTTTTAAGCCGGGTGGGTCTTACTCGGGTCACCTGCAGGTGGATGTGTTACCCAGGTTAAGTTGTAACAACCTGGGTAGCCAACTCATGGGTCAACCCATAGGTCAACTCGCAGGTTGACCCATGAGTTGACCTGTGGTTTATAGAGAGACATTTGTATGATTGGTTGATGTAATCAATTGCTCGTTTATATAGTTTAAAGTACATACTTTTTAGAAATATAACGTTTTACCCATTTTTAGAAAAATTATTAACCCCAAGAACATCATTTAGAAGTGGATGTTTTTACCATTTATTAATAATACTAGTTATATTAACCGTATATAAGTTCTAAATGCTGGATATATAAGATTTAATTTAAAGAATTTTATATATACATATTTTAACATTAGTAACTTAGGGTTAAGTAGTATGTCAATAATATATATGAACATATGAGTATTATCTTTTTATTAATTATATGGTTAAATGTCATATTACATTAAATATAACAATAATAAATATAGTTTCATTAATAATTTATTCGCATATTAAATTTTTTGATCAATTTGAGTTTGGTTTATTGGTAATAAATATCACTTACAGACGTATATTGCATATATATCTATGTTTTTAAATATATAACTTCTTTTTTGTATATATTTATTAGTTTGAAAGCTCACTATACAGTAAAATTTTTATATACCATATCTAAAGTATACAGATCTGTGCAATTTAAAATGCTTTTTTATGCAATATAAGAAATTCTGACTATGCAATATCAATGCAAATAAAAAATTGTGAATGATAAACATATATATTAAATAGTGTTAAAAATATTGATATTTAGTAATTAGCAAAAAGTATATTATGTGTATTAATCTTTATTATATTGATATTGATCAATATTGTTATTTGCACTAGTTACATTATAATAGATTAATTTATTACACATTTGATGTATCAAAAATATAATTGCACAGGTCTGAACATTATAACCGCATCTGAACTCTTTTTTATCAGGCCAGAACTATGTTGTCAAAGTCATGTGATTTATATATTCCTATTGAGACGCAAAAAAGATTATATCACTGCTCATATTTATGCATCTATATATATATAATCTACATGATTTGTTCTATAGAAAAATACTCCAATATTATTCTGATTTGTCTTGATTCATATTGTCTGATATTATCCTGATAGCTCTATAAACTAGTCAACTAGATGTTTTATAACATTATTCCAATTTTAGCTATATGGTTCTAATCCTGAAGTATTACGTCTAAAAATATATACCAATCATGCCGAAATCAATAAATTAATTGAATTAATCAAAAGTCATTTTTATTAGGTTCCAGAATTTGAAAAGAACTGTAATTCTTAGTCATATTACCACTCAGATGGTCTTTTTATACTAACCAGATGAACCAACAGATCAACTGACAGATCACCTGTCAAGTAACCCGAGTGGGTGATATTTTTAGGTTGATCTGATTTTTATCCAGGTGATTTATTGTCCACCCGACAGGTGACCCAGATGAAGGTTTTTTA